TTTTTTTTTTTTTTTTTTTACCCAAAAGCGTGTCTGTTTAAAAAAAAATGTGTCAAGCAAGCAGTTCTGCCTTTATTCTGTCCTTCCCCTTTCCCAAAATCAGAATCCTGTTTTGCTGAGCAAGGAACATCTGGAAATATGAAAGTCTCATTTCATCCAGAGAATGGCACATACGGTTCAGAGTCTTTCTGGGACACAAATGAGCAGGATAGGAATTTGAGAAGATAAAAGTGTGTAGGGACAGCATGTTCACGTCTTCCTCCAGAGCTTGGGAGCCCTGTAGACCCTGGCTTGGGTAGCTGTGGACCTTTCTGTCTGTAGAGCCCATTGTCACCAGTATGGATCCTGTCACCATGCAGTGGACCACAGCTCAGCCCCCGGCCTGGAGAAGACAGAAGAGGAAGAGGAAGGGGCTTGTAAGTGGCCGCCACTCCACCCTGGATGTCCCGCAGGAACTGTGGAGGAGGATGAGTCATTCGATTTAATCAGCGTCCTCAGTGTGCACATTCCCTATGCCACGTAACTTTGTGTGTGGGGGGCATCTTGTCAGCTCTGTGATGTGGGGAGTCCCATATGACTCACTTTGGCCAAAAGAATATGGTGGAAGTGACTGTGTGACAATGTCAGATGGTGTCTCAAGAGATGTGTGTGTGTTTTCACTCGATCTCTTGTTTCTATGCCCTTTGACGTGAGGAGATTGTGCCTTGGGAGCTGCCAACCCCAGGGCAATGAGACAGATCTTGGGGTGTACACCTGAGCCTGTGCTCCCCAGGGGCCAGGTCCAGCTGATCCTCAGCCTGAAGGAGATCTGTGTTAAATGCCTCTGGACTCATGTGTGAGAAAACTCAGGTTGCTGAGTTTGGGGTCATTTGTTACACAACATTACCAGGGCACTAGCTGACTAATACACAAAGTGCACGATAGGAGCTGAGAGTAAAAGGATGAGTGGAGATGTCATCCACCTGGGAGGCCACAAGGAAGTGCTGGTGGGGTCTGAGCAGAGAGCAGGTGGGCAAGGCCTCTGAGAAGAACAAGGTGGACTAAACAGTAAGCTCAAGGCCAGGCTGGACTACACAGAGAGACCCTGCCTGTCTCAGCACCCCTTCCCCCAAGAAAGACAGGGAATCAGCCTCCAAAGCAGAGCTCAAGGGCGTCTCTGGGGAAGTTACTTAACCTTTGTATCCGAGGCCTGGGACATCGGGGATCAAACCGCCCACAGGACCCTGACTCTGCTGTCCATTTCACAGACTGCGTGTGCTAAATACAGCCCAAAAGCTCACTCATGGATTCACGTTACTTTGAAATCCCAGTGCAAAGAGGGTTTTGTGCCTCCGAGGACAGGCACCCTTCCAGGCCACTCCTGGGCACCCGCAGGCTGAGAGGAGAGCAAGGACGGCTGGGTGGTACCGAGAGCACGGCTGGGAGTGCACACTCAGGCATTGTGTGTCTGGGGACCCTGGGTTGAAAGCCCAGCTGTGCCATCAGCAGCTGGATGGGTCACTGCATGCCTCCCCAGCACACCTTCCTGTAAATGGTGGCGGTAGGGTATTCTGAGAGTGTTCACTGTGCGGAGGCTTAGGGGAGATGACAAGCGTCCAGAGGATGGCACATCCATCGAAGCACCGATCCCCTGCCCTGTAACCTGGATATGACCTGCGTCAATGGTGAGACCGCTGAGAGTGTGGGAGCTGGAGGGGCCACCACTCTGGGTAGCTCCCGCCCTCATGCCCTATCTTTCCTCTTTGTGGCTCTCTCTACTCCCAACTTCTCCTGAAGGCTGTGTTGGAGACTCTCAGCCCACTTTCTTCTATGTCTAGGTTTGCACTGCCCTCTGGTGGTACTAATGGGAACGGCGTGTTCACTGGGGGCTGGCGGTAGGTGACCTTCACCTGACATTGGGGAGGGAAGGGTCCACTGTATGGCTTTTGCAGCACTGCTAGGGAAGGGGTAGTGTGTGGGGCTCCTGCTGCCAGTTTAGCTTGCAGCTCTTTGGGCTTAGCAAACACAGGCTTTTCAACCATGTCCCTGGCTCCACAGCCATCAAATAACACTGTCCGAGGCTCAAGTTTCTATCTAGAGCAGGCGCCTTTTCTTCCGCCAAGACCCAGAAGGACTGGGGTAGTGTTTATCTGATATGTTTTCCCCTCTCATGCCTGGTTTCCTCTCATTCTGATTTCAGTCCCAGCTGCTCCCAAGGGTGGGAGGCAGGGAAAACAAGAGCTGACTTCACCCAGGTTTGCAGCTGCCTGCTGCCGCCTCAATGCCTGTCCCCCTGCCCCAGAGCCACTTTCCAGGTCACTGGACATGAAGTGGGGTCCTGGGAGGGGGCAACAGGAGGAGTGGAGGCCTCAGGCTGGTCCACCTTCATCTGACCTGGCTGTGGAAACTTAGAAGCATCCACCTTTATGATCAAAATTTAATCACATGACATTGCTAAAGTGCAGTCACATCTGGCCTCTCAAACAGCCATTTCCTATGACACAGTGTGACGCTTTGCATCTGAACTCTGTTCCATGCATGGAGTGGAGGCCTCAGGCTGGTTCACCTTCGTCTGACCTGGCTGTGGAAACTTAGAAGCATCCACCTTTTATGATCAAAATTTAATCACATGACATTGCTAAAGTGCAGTCACATCTCGCCTCTCAAACAGCCATTTCCTATGACACAGTGTGACGCTTTGCATCTGAACTCTGTTCCATGCTAGCAGCAGACTGAAGTCCAGGTTTCCTGGGCCCATTCAGAGCAGGAACCTGGACCCTGGACCCTGGACTGAAGAGAGGGGGATAGGGTCTGAAAGCCAGAGACGAGACCAAGTTTATCTTAAGGGGCTGAGGTGGACTCCACTCCCCACATCAGGGGCCCCTGTTCCTGAGTTCTCCAGTGACTTCTAGGCTGCAGTGTGCAGTGGGAGCTGGTGAGGGGACCCTGGAAAAGCCCTCCTAGCCAGGTGTGTATGCCCTCTGGATTAATTGGGCAGGGTTTTCTGGAGGCTTTAGGAGGTCGAGTGTCTCTGGACATACCCAGCATCCCCACCTGATCTCTGCTGCAAATCCTGGTGATGCAGGCTGTGTGGGAGGCCAAGCTGAGGGGAGGCAGCTTGGAGGCCAAGGACCCCTTAGCTGGCTCCTGAACCCAGGTCCATGCAGCAGGCATCTGGAACTTACCCAAAGGCTGAGGGCAGAGTGGCCAGGGAGGTTTGAAGCTACAGAGTAGCAGAAGGTTTATACATTGCACCAAAGCTCCTGAACAGGTCCATGCAGCAGGCATCTGGAACTTACCCAAAGGCTGAGGGCAGAGTGGCCAGGGAGGTTTGAAGCTACAGAGTAGCAGAAGGTTTATACATTGCACCAAGGATGAGTTTTCCTTTTGGGATTCACCCACCTCCTTCGAAATCATGGACCCAACAGAGAGGCCTGGATATCTTGAGCCTGGTGGTGCAGTTAGGGACTTGGCATCTTTCCTGTCAGGAGGATACAAACAGAAGAGTGAGGGGCTTACTCAGATCATTTTATCCAGCTGTCCGTCCCTTCATCCACCCTCCCACCCACCACCCATTCATCCATTAAGCCATTAACTGGGTATCTACATGTGCCTGGCACATGCTGGGAGGTGCTTGACATATAGCAGTGACTGAAACAGACAAATATCTCTGACTTTCTGTTACTGCAGCCGCTTGGGTGAAACCATTAATAACTATGCTGCTATTAAAAAAAGCTCCTACCTTTTCTACCATGGCATCATTAAACAGATACAGTGTGTGTGTGTGTGTGTGTGTGTGTGTGTGTGTGTGTGTGTGTTAAAACTTTAATAAACAGAAATGCCAAGGACATAAGGTGAGATTTTCAGGAAGCCGGAGCCAACATTGCACATATAGCCTAATTTTACCCGTGTTGACATATATGTGCACTGTAAAGGCGTGAGGAGGAAACCGCTGATAAACAGAGGCTGTTCTCTATCTGTGGCACAGAGACCCCCAAGTGTGAGCACCTCACTTCCCAAGCCAACCCCAGAATCCAGGGATCATAAATGCTCATTGTCGTTAAAGCAACAGAATTTAGGGGTGATTCATTGTTCAGTAATAGATATAAAAAAGTGGTTGATCTCTAGATTGCAGGGCTGAGCTTTTAACAGCACCTTTATATATTTTTAAGATTTCCACATGACCATTTAGTTCTGTTATAATCAGTAAAAAAAATTATCAAAAAACAAAAACACACTGTAATTTTCCCTACCTCATTAAGGAAGAAACTAGGTCTAAATAGCAATGTAGGAGCTAAGCTCAACTTGGAAAAAAAGCTTCCTACTCAAGATTTATTAGATACTGGGAAGGCTTAGGAAGGTATATCTCAGTTGGTAAGCTGGGAAGAGGGGTAGATTTGGAGGAAGAAATCTTGGAAACGAATCTGTTTTTCTGGGTGACCTTGAGCAAGCCCTTGCTCAAAGCCGGTTTTCTATTTTGAAAACTGCAGCTGGGCTGCGGAAGGAAGGGACCAGAGAAGAAAGGGCGCATCTTTCACTTCTCCAGAGGGTACAGTTCTAATAAGGAAAATGGCCCGGAAAAGAACCACAAGCGGTAAACAAAACAAAACAACCACAAACAATAACAAAACACCACTAAGAGGTCTTTCTGGAGCCCTTGCCTAAAGCTCCCTGCCCTTTCCTTTCTGAGGCCAGGGAGCCGGGTGTGCAGTGAAGGAGGAGGGGAGCCTCGGGGTATCCTGGCAACGTGGTATCCAGGCAACGCGGTGTCCTGGCAACGCGGAGTCTCTGCAACCCGCGACACACTTGAAGGCACCCAAGCTCCCTAGCCCTGGGCTCCCTCACCAGCCCGCCCTCAGCAGTTGGGTTGCAGTTGGTGGGTAGATCCGGGCAGCATCCTCGGTGGAGGCCTTGGAGGGAAAACCAGGCTCTCCTGGAAAGACGTGGAGAAGGAGCCCTGCTTGGAGAGGCCAGGGGATTCTGGACGCAGGACAGCCTGCTTGGAGGATGGTGGCTCTGATTTAGAGACCAGCCCCACCCTCTCAACTTTCCATGGCTTGTGGAGTATGTTGTCGTGACCGATGATTTTTCTTTCTCCTCCCCTTCCTTCCTATTGATCCCAGGGTCTTCATGCTGACCTCCCTCCCCTGGCCGTTATTATTATTTTTAATTCGAAAGAGGATCTCCCTGAGTTGTTCAGGCGGAACTCATACTTGTGATCCTCCTGTCTCAGCCTCCTTTCTTACAAAGGTCTTTTCTTGGTCTCTGGGTTTCCTTCATTGTTTAAAATCAAACCCTGTGCAGAGATGAGTCCGTGGACTCTGGAAATGCCCTCAGGGTTTCCTACTTCCCTCCATCTCAAGAGCGGGCTGTGGCAGAAGGCTGGAGAAGATTCCAGAGGATGGCGACTCCCAGTGTGACCAGAGCAGAAAGGAGATACAGTTGAGTTCTAGGGCATCAGGAGGGCTGGGGATGAATCCCATATTGTATCGGCGTTTATTCTACCCAGGAGGCCCTGTCTCAAGGCCGGTGTGTTAGTCATCTTTCTGTAACAGATGCCCAAGATAATTGACCTATAAAGAGAGAGTTTCTTTTTTTTTTGTTTTGTTTTTTTTGGCTCGATGTATAAGAGGTTTAGGTCTTTGGGCTTGTGGCACACATTAGGGGGAGCAGGCAGCAGAGCAAAACCACTCCACCTCATGGGTAAGAGGTGGAAAGGAGAAAAGGCAGCACCCCCAGTGACCAGGGACCTCAGCAGGCCCCACCTGCTTAAAGGTCCCACCACCTTCCAGTAGCACCACAGACTGAGGACAACACTTAACATGATATGGGCCAGTGGGGACACCCTGTATTCCAAGGGTAGCATCTAGTTTGGGGGCATGTGGCAAGAACTGCTTGGCTGGGAGCGTCTGTCTGTGTGAATCTGAGATCTGATTGGGCACAGAGCACTGTGAAAGCAGACATTCTCATGAATTTCCTTCCTGGGGCTCCTAATAGCCTGAGATCATAGCTGAGTAGAGGGAGCCGCAGGCTGGACCCACCAAGTGCTTTGGCTAATAAATGACGAGGCTGGATTTGACCCAAGTCTCTTGTTCTCCAGGGTCGGTCCCATTCCATTTTCCCCTTTGCTCAGATCTTTGTAGATTTGTGGCCCTGCATGTTGGTTGGGACAGAGCTGGTAGAGATTGTGAACACTCTAAGGATGGGCTAAATTATATCACGGCTGGCTGCTCCAGCACTGGTTCTCAAGACTGAGGAAGGATGTATGGGCCTGTAGAGCCCAGCAGGATGGAGCAGCGGGCAGTGATGGTCTCCTAGAAAACCTCAGGCTGAGTGCATGGTTAGGATGTCACACACCTGGTATAGGTGAGTGGCCTGCTTGCAGCAAAAAGGGGTTGGAGTTGGAGAATGTCCCATCTTTGCCCTATCAGATCTTAGCCTGGACCCTGCCGTCCTGGATCCCAGATCTATGATCTCCTGGTTCTCCTTCTCAGTGCAGGGAAAGCAGGGAGGTACAACACCCACACCCAGATGTGGGCTGGGCCCAGCAGAACTGGAGGAGTTAGAACCTTTCATTCCCCAATGTGGCCTGGACAGGAAGGAGAAAAGGATTCTGTGATTCTAACCTCAGGCTCTAGAACTCTCTGCAGTTTCCAGTTTGGCTGGGGGCAAAGGAGGAAGCTGGTGCTGTAAGGGAGAGCTAGGGAGGCTCTGTACTTCTGAGTTAAGTTACCAGAAAGGCACCAGGTCCTGGTCACCAGGCCAAGTGATCCAGAGCCCACAGTTTTCTTTTCTGCTCTGAGGCTGTGACCATTCCAGGAGACAATGCCTGAGTTCAACTTCTCACGGAAGCCATGGGTTTGAGGGAAGAAAGTTCCCCATAAATCAATTGAAGACATTTGCACTTGTGTGTGTGTGTGTGACACACACACACACACACATGCACACACTAGCTCTGCTGAGTGGATTCCAGGCATGGGAACTGTTGGTCTGTCACGATTGAATGTATTATTTCTTTTTCTTCTAGGTGGACTATTGTAAAGTCCACGAGATGACAGGTGTACTTACGAAAGGTGTCCTTCCTGCCCAAAGAAATGCCAGCCATTATCTTGAGTTTCACAGCTATTACCACAGCAAACTGCATTTTATAAATTATACTCCATAGCTGTGTAACCCTGAGTGAATTATTTGAATTATTATGGAACTCAGTTCATTTCTCTGTATAGTTATTCTTATTATAATTGTAATTATGGTCTCATTTTCATTTCCAGTACTGTTTACTTGTGTTTTAATTTTTTCTTGACTGTTACTTATTTACATAATTTGTTCTTTTTTATTCATTTATGCTTTTATTTTGTGATTTCCTTCCTTATTTTGGAGATTTGCTTCCCCTGCCTTATTTCTTCTATTGAGAGCCTAGCTCATTAGTTTTGGAACCTTTGTTCTCAGACACTATGATGCTGTTATGACATTCAGGCTTGGACACTTGTCCCCGATGGGACTGGCCTGACCCATGTGTGGCCAAGCAGCAGATGTGAAGTAGTTGTCATGGTCTTTGTTTCATGAGCACTGAAGCCTGCAGAACTCCTCTGGGGCTGGAGAGCACATCCCAGAGGCCCACGGGGCCCACCCTGTTAAGGTACTGTCACCCATATTGTTCCCCATGTTCAGATCACCCTGAGGTCAACATTAAGTGGAAGGGTGGACCACAGTTGTCAGGCTTTTGAATGTAAGCAGTTCACTTTGCTTCTATTTATCTTTTTATATAAGTTGTGTGTGATTAAAATCTCAAAGTCTAAAAGAAAGCTTTAGTTAGTATATAAAATTCCGAGCAATAAGGCACTGCATCTTGAATTTGCAACCTTCGTTCTTTGTGGTAGCTAAGATAATAATATTAAAATCGATGGTGTTTACAGTCTGTGAAATGCAGGGTATGCATTTGAGATTCCAGCTTTCTAATTACAGCTTGTGTTGAGTCCTACAAGTTCTGATATATAGTGCTTTTGTCCATTCATCATTAAGCACCTTACCTCATGATTTCCATTATAATTTCTTCTTTTATATGAATTATTTAGCAATGTGGTTTGAGTTTCCAAAGCTTGTGGATGTTCTTGGCTGTCTTTATTATTGATTGATAATTGTATTGCATTGTGGTGAGAGAACATGATTTGTATTGTATTTATTGCCACTTCTATGGCTTGGTAAATGGGTGGCTGCTCCTCTGGCTGCTAAGGTTGGTCCTCTTCTCCTGCTGGCTCTATTCTTTTCCTGCCCCTTTGACTGGCTTTGACCTGGTGACTCACATCTCGAGCAAGTGCCTGGGGCTGCCTTGAGGTCTGGGGAATGTTCTGGAACATTCCAGAACAGCACTTTCCTCCTGAGGTGTATTCTAAACATACTGTACCCTGGGGTTTCTCCTGTAGGTCTTGGTCAGAGCTCTGGAACTTGCATGTGATTCTGATGACCTGGAAATCTGGGAAATGCTGGGCAGAGTGGGTCAGGATGGAATGTGGTACAGAGAAACTGCCCTTTCAGGGGATGCTCAAGACTAAACTATCCAAGAGCAACTGGGTAGGAGAAAGGCAAGTTTCCAGGACTCACTTAGCAGGATTCTAAGTCAGCAGGGCTGCGACGGATTTAGAAATCTGTATTTTTAACAGGTTTGAGATAGTCCACATACCACATTCTGAGAAACTGCAGAATGGGAAGATTTTGAAGGTAGGAAATAGCCTAGCTGTTTTTTAAAGTCTGTTGGACTCACAGGCAGTCTTCCTAAGTGTGAAGAGTTTGGGGATAGGAAGGGGACTTGACAAGTGTGGTTGTGATTCACTTGTAATATGAGTGTGAGAGGAAATGAATATAAATGGCTTCAGTCACGGTTCTGCTGCTGGGTGGTGGGAACTTGCAGAGGGTACACAGCTTACACCATCTGCGTGTGATGCGGAGCCTTTGGGGTGGTGCGGTGCTTAGTCTACAAAGCCAGGGACACCTCGTGATTTCCTCATAACCGGAAGTTACCCCGAGCCTGTGAGCTACTGTGTGCACAGAGCTGAGCATAAAGAAAGGCCGCTTTGATTCACCTTCTTTCTTCGCATAATTGGGCGAGGCACACACCCATATAAAATGAAAAGAGCACAGACTGACTTTCACAAAATAAAAATTGTATAGGAAAAATGAAAATAGCGGGTACTGCTCTCTGTCGGACAGTCACCGGCTTTCAGGATTCTTTTGTGATTGGGGGTGATGGGGGAGCTATCATTCTTCTTTATTTATTCAAACAATGGTTAAGATCGGCACTCACTCAGTGCCTGGCAAGACTCTGGATGCTGCTAAGATGAGTAAGATGCAGTCTGGTGCGAAGGACAGGTGTGTAGCCCATGAACCTGAGGAGGGGAGACCCAGACATTTCTGGAGGGCAGTCCCATGCTCCTGGTCACTGTCCTTCATGGGCCACACACTGCAGAGTTGTCCTGAGACGGCCCACACAGCCATCAGTGATGGACAGCTGGGTTCTGGTCTTTTCTCTTCCACCTCCTGGAAGGGACAAGCAGTCTGCATAGTGGTGAGAAATTTAGACTTTGGGTTCACACAAAAGGTGATTAAACCTGGTCCTAGCTGTTTCTCTGCTGCGAATCACAAGGAAATTGCATAATCCCAGGCTGTTTCCTCCTCTTGTGATGGAGACATGAGTAACTCCCGCATCTATGATGCTCAGGAAGATAAATGCAATATGGCATCACTCCTAGCACACAGCAAATGCTCAATATTGTGAGCTGTTTTTCTTAAAGAAGAGATTTATAATCTGGGGATCCAGAGGGAGTGGCAGGTACTTGAATAATGTGATGAAGCACATATCAATGTGTTGCAGGTGGTACCCACAACGATCCCTCCAAATCCAAGGGTTGCTCTGTGGTCACGACACTCCCCGGGAGGAGCACCAGGCCCTCACCTTCTGCAGGGACAGGGCTGAGGCTCAGCGAGCCTTCAGGTGTCCTCAGAACGAGTGCCCAGCTGGCGTAAGTAAGGGCTGGTGAGGAGCAGTTGCTGCTGGTGAAGCTGTGCCCGAGAGTCCCTCGCCCAGGAGGTAGCACAGCCTGGCTGGCAAGGCATGGAATCCCTGGAGTCTGCTCTTTGGGTTCGAATCCCGACTCTGCTACTTTATTTGCACTTCCTTAACAAGCAAATAAGTGAAGAGTTTTGAGAAAACTCTTCTGAATATTTATAACAAAAGTGAGTTTATTGTAGAAAAATTTAAATTCTAAAAAATAACTACTAAATATGAAAGTCACAATAATTTTGCATCTCAGAGAAGACATGTTAACATATTGATGTTGTTGTTTGTGGTAGGGGGGACCAATCCCAGAACCTCATGCTTGCTAGGTAAGTGCTCTACCCTTGAGCTATACCCCTAGTCCTGATATTAGTTTTTTAATGTGTAAGAAGAGCATTTTCTTTTTCTAAATATATTCATTTTACACAATTAAGAACATATACTATTCTTTTGTAAAACTTGCTTTTTTGTTATTTTTTTGTTTTTGCTTTTGTTTTTATTTTTTTGAGACAGGGTCTCACTGTGTAGTTGAGACTGACCTGAAACTCACTATGTAGCCCAAGCTGGTCTCGAACTCACAGTGATCCTCCTGCCTTAGCCTTCCGAGTGCTGGGATTACAGGCATTCACCACCACGCCCAGCTGTTTGTTTTTTTTAATGAGATGGGAATTCACTGTGTTGCCAAGGCTGGGCTGGAACCAGAGATCCTTCAGCCTCAGCCTCCTGAGCACCTGGAATTATGGGCATATGCTATTACATTCAACTAAGTTTTGAGTGATTCAGTTTTGGGAGATTCAGGGCTAAACCTAATGCTTTGTTATTATGACACTTTTAGCCTAGGTTTGCTTTTGATTATTTCTTCTTCTCCATATACTTGCTGATTTTTAATTTTAATTTTATAGTCTTATTAACAAGTACCATTTTTTGGGTAACAATGTGTTGAACTGTAATTCACATGCCATATGTATTAATTAGAGTTCCCTGGAGGGACAGAGCCCATAGAATGAATTTTCTTTCTTTCTTTCTTTCTTTCTTTCTTTCTTTCTTTCTTTCTTTCTTTCTTTCTTTCTTTCTTTCCTTCTTTCTTCTATCTACCTAGTGACATAGGCATAGGCATGGATACCCATCAACACAGACACACACATAGGCTGGATTTGTCAGAGGAACTGGCTCACTGCCAGCTGAGGATAAAACCCAAGAGCCCAGGAGGTGGCCAGAGTGGGCACAGGCTCTGGAGCCCAAAGGCCAGAGAGTCTGGAGTTCTGACATCGAGGTCAGGCAGGAGAAGAGTTCCTGGTCCAAGACACAGGGGTGGGGAAAGATCTATGAGACCCACTCTTCCCTACTTTATTGGTCCTCTCTGGGCCCCAAGTGTCTGAATGAGACCTTCTTCACCTTGAGGGTAGTTCTTCCTGCCTCAGCCCACTGATCTGGGAACCCAGAAACTGAGCTGACACCTACAACTGGCCACCGTGGCCCACGGTCCCCCACTTCAAGTGCACAACTCAGTGGTGCCCGTGTAGTCACAGAGCTGTTCAACCGCCACTGCCACCGATTTTAACAGCATTCCATTTTCCCCTAGAGAAACTTGGACCCTTTAGCCCCTCCTCTCCCTTCCCTCTCCTGCCCTGGATAAACAGTGAGCTACATTCTTCCATCTAGAGCTGCGTATTCTGGACACTTCATGTAAATGAAGGCATTAGCACATGGTCCTTGGTGTCAGGCTTCTTTCACTTAGCACAATGTTGTCAAGGTCATTCGAACTGTAGGACATTGGTGTATTGCTCCTTTTTTTTTACAGCATGATAAGATATATATAAATATAACATGTGGCATTCTATCCATGTGTAATTATACTTGTAATGTGCAACCCTCACCACTACCTTTTTTTTTTTTTTTTTTTGGTACCGGGTATCGAACTCAGGTCCTTGAGCTTGCATGGCAGGCAGCAGAACCACTGAGCTAATCCCCGGCCCTCCACTACCTATTTTTAAAACATTTTGATCATATTATCCCAAACAAACTCTACATCTATTAAGAAATAATGCATGATTCTCCCCTCTCTTCAGATCCTGGAGGCCTATAAACTTTTGGTCTTCATAGAAGTGATATCATACAATATTTGTCCTTTTGTTTCTGGCTTCTTTTAGTTAGCATAATGTCTGTAAGGTTCATGCACATTGAAGCATGAAATAAAGCTTCATTCCTTTTAACATCTGCATAATATTCCACTGAATTTGTATACCAACTTCTGTTCGTCCATATATCTATGGATGGACACTTGGGTTGTTTCTATTTTTGTTGTTGTTGTTGTTTTGAGACAGGGTCTCACTATGTTGTTGAGACTGACCTGAAACTCACTATGTAGCCCAGGCTGGTCTCGTACTCAGCAATCCTCCTGCCTCAGCCTCCCTAGTGCTGGGATTACAGCTCTATTTTTTGACTATAGTGAATATTCCACAATGAGCATTCATGTATAAGTATTTGAGTCTCTGTTTTTAATTCTTTTGGATATACACCTAGCATAATTTCTAGGTCATATAGCAGTTCTTGTTAAACTTCTTGAGGAACTACCAAATTGTCTGGGAATTGAACTCAGGACCTTGTGCTTGCAAGACAGGCACAGTGCCACTGAGCTAAAGCCTCGACCCCTATCTTTTGAATATATTTCATTTCCCCTTTGCACTGTGAATAAACAAAGGCTGTCTTGGGGACTTTCATAGAGGAATCAGCCGAGCTCTGTATGTGAGAAATGTAGGATGTGTGAGTCCTGAGTTTCCCGCTGGGGCCCATGGAAGACTGTTCCCTCTGCTTTCTCTCCAGGGCTGCTGCAGATCTGGGCCGGAAGTCCTGCATCTCCTCTTCCTCCTCCTCTTTGCACTGCCGTCTCTCCCCGGAAGCCTGGCTGCCTGAGGTCCACAAGGCTCACCATCCCTCAGAGTTCATCCTGCTCAGGCTGCAGAAAAGTGAGTGGTCACAGTGAGACGCCCCAGTGAGCCTCGGTACCAGGATCCTGCACAGCTCTGCCTCTGCGGGCTGCGGCTGGGAGGCACTTGTACCAGGCACAGGACTTGCTTCCTCTCTGGGGTTCATGCCCACGCAAAGACACACACAGTCGGTGCTGTGTAACAGTGTACAGCAGTGCCGTTAGGTGGTCACGAATAGGAAGATTTCCTGTCTCCAGTGACCTCACTGCTGTCCTAAGGCTGTGCTGCCAGGCATGGGAAGCATAGCACACATAGTCCTAATAGGTGCGGTCCTAACACATGGTGACAAATGACTGCCTTACTGGCGTATGTACCCAGCGCCCTGTACAATAATGTACTTTTCAACCTTTGTTTTTGAGTGTATTTCTCCTACTTACTTTGTCTTGTTTTGGAGACAGGTCTTGCTATGTAGCCCAGGTTGGCCTCAAACTCTCAGTGATCCTCCTGTCTCAGCCTCCCTAGTGCTGGGATAAACAGGCATGCGCCACCACACCCGGCTATTCATTAAGAAAAGCTTTGTTGTCAGACAGTGCTGTGTTCCGCTGGCAGTTGACTCGAATATCTCATACTCAGAGGCCACGTCCAGCAAGTGATCTGTGTCTTCCAATGACCTGTGTCATCCAGTTTGTGTAAGCACATGTGTGACAGTCACATGCACAACAGTGACACTTTTCTCCAACTGCTACGCAGCACGTGCACATGACGTGAAGTCAATGAGTCAGAGTATACAAACCATTCTCACTCAACAGTAAGTAGGGTGTGGCCTCTTTCCTTGTCAGTGTATTTAGGTCTACGAGGCTACTATAGACCTAACTGTTTCACAGAGAGGGACAAATGATTCAAACCCAAACTTACTGGCCTCCAAAGCCTGTCCTTTCTTGGCTTTTCCAGTCCCCCTAGGGTTGTGGGAATCTTTTATTGTTTAGAGTCACTGTTAGCAATTTTGCAAGAAAAGTTAATGGTAGCATAGGCACCAAGGTCCAGTTGCCGGCCAAGGTCTTCGTCATGTGGCAACACCATGCACGCACGTGTCCCTGTGGCACACACACACGTGCCGACACCTGTCCCACCCAGTGGGGGGTGCTACAGGTGGCCTTGCCTTTCCCTGCTGATCGGCTTTCTATTTTGTCCAAACATTGATCAAAGGGGAGCACTGGTTGGGTCACAGGTGCTTATGAGACTGGCTCTGTGCTTCCCAACCTACACATAATTCCAAGCTTTATTTTGAAGAAGAGGGTAAGGAAATAAATATAAAGCCTGTTAGGTGGTTTCCCTGTCCTCAGTTCCTGTCCTTTTGTGCCTAGTGATTGACTTGGCTTCTGATGTATGAGGTGTGGCCCAAATATACTGCAAATGTTTAATTTTATTTTTTGTACTAGGGATCAAACTCAGGACCTCACACTTGCCAAGAAGGTGCTGTGCCACTGAGCTAAATCCCTGGCCCACAAATGTTTAATTAAAAAAAAAAATATATATATTTCTTAAAATATCTCCCCTTGGGCTAGGGATTTAGCTCATGGCAATGTGCCTGCCTCACAAGTGCAAGGTCCTGAGTTCAATCCCTGGTACCAAAAAACAAAACAAACAAACATTTCCCCCATTGAGGGCCAGGGATTTAGCTCAGTAGTGCCACCGTCTGCCTTGCAAGTGCAAGGTCCTGAGTTTGATTCCCCTTTCTTCGAACACACATCTCATTTTCCTGGCTACTTTCTGAAGTTTGGTAAAAAAATATGGTGAACCCTGCTGCTGAATGCCACCGATGGAGAGGTGTAGAAGTGAACTCGCAAAAACATCGCAGCATGTCCTCATCCACCTCAGGTACAGGATCTGGACCTCTGTGAGGTCAGGATCTTTCTCAAAGTTAAAATGACCATGAAAGATAAACCTTTTTAAGAGACTCACCCCGTGCAAGCAGCCAAGACGGCACAAAGACACTCATGAAAGGGGCCTTCAGAGCCGCTTCAGAAAGTCAAAACAACAAGATATGTGTGCTTGAAGTGAGGGAGGGGATAGTTTTGAAGAGGATTCATGGAAATGTGTCTTTCACTGGAATCAAGTTTTAAGTGAAGAGATTTAAACACACACTGTGTATTTTGATCCCACCTCGTGGAATGAAGGAATCCCACACATTGGTAAGGCTGTACCGCTGGGTAGCACCCAGGGAGTTCTCACAAGTTTTGTCCTCTGTCGGCACCCTGACCCTGGGCGCTGTGCCACCTGGGAGATCTTCGATGTCTTGCAGGGGATGAGCAGAGACCCGAGTGGACGTCTTATCCAAGGTTCAGCTGCAGTATCCACACCTACCATGTCGGGAAGCAGTGCTTCTTCAATGGGGTCTTCCTGGGCAACAGGAGGTCTTTGTCTGAGAGGACAGTGGACAAGAGCCTCGGGAGAAAACGATATGGTAACGCTTTCTTCCTCCGTCTCCTCTGTGCAGGCCCCACTGCGGGTCACAGCTGTCACCTTGGTGCAGCTGGGTGGACGGGAAAGCAGAGGGGATGGTGGGTAGGTGACAAGTTTTGGCAAAATGACCTACATTTTTGTTTTTTCTCAGAATTTTATAAAATGCTAATGTGACATTTAAGTCATCAGAGGACTTCCTTCAGATTTTTTTTTGTACTGAGAATCGAACTCGGGACCTTGTACTTTTGAGGCAGGCAGCAGAACCACTGAGCTAAACCCTCGGCCCTTTCAGATTGTTATTAATAGAAATCTCTGAAGTCTGAAGAAAGTGGTTATGTTTCATTAGATGCTGCCTGTTCTATGTGCATTTGAAGTGTATTTTCTATTTCCCACAAGGATAACTTCCCATAGACCTTAGCCTGAAGTGCATGTTGCTATTTTGTAGCTTACTTAATTAAAAGCAGTTGAGATAAAACATTATATATCTAATATATATAATATATATATATATATCTATATGGGTAACTCTTTGGTTTGTAACTTGGTGAGTTCTCTGCCCAACTTTCCCATAACCAACTTGCCAAAAGACCCAAAGAGGCTGCTGAGAGCTAGCACACCACTCATGGCCCACTGTCCTCCAGAAACCCCCAGGCAAGAGGAGGCAGCCAGGGCTTCAGTGATGAAAGAGGTTGCTAGGAACACAAAGAGAAAGAAATAGAAAGTCTCATTTCTTAGTTTTAACATAGATTTTTAAATTTAGAGCAGAGACAAGGTGTGTGTGTGTGTGTGTGTGTGTGTGTGTGTGTTTGAGACAGGGTCTCACTATGTAGCCTGGGCTGGTCTTGAACTCACAGCAATCCTCCTGCCTCAGCCTCCCGAGTTCTAGGATTACAGGCACCACGCCTGGCTGACAAGGTGTTTTGAGAATGGAGGCTTCTTTTTATTTGCTCAGAGACTACATAAAGAGTCACATGAACGCGGATGGGGCTTAGGGGGTCCTGCTCTCTGCCAGCTCCTGAGCTGTGCCCCAGTAGCAAAAGGAAATGGGGTTATCATGGGGTTCAAACCCTCATCCAGCCTGTCACTTCCCCCCAGCTCACAAATTTTGTGTTTTTCTTCCTAACCCCTTTCTCCCTTCCCTCTCTCACTCCTTTGCTGCTTCTTTTCTTCCTCTTTCCTTCTGCCCTCCCTCTCCCTTCCTTCTCCTCCTGTCTCCTCCATTCCTCCTTTCTTTCTAATTATAGCTGTATAAATACCGAGTCAATTCAAAGCCATGTTTATGAAATATGTGTGGAAGAAAGAGAATAAAATACCACAATCATTGTGCGCACCATTTAAAAAATAACATATTACCTCAATATTGGAAGCCTCCGATGTGCCTCTCCCCAAATACTGCAGCTTTCTCACCAACGCCAGTGGTAAACCCCATTTTATATTTAGTGAAAAAGGAAAATAAAATTAGGTAAGTTTCTCGACAGATGACAGTATAGAGAAAATAGCGTAACAAAATCCAATATGCAAATCCAGTTAACATCAATAATGGGGCTATTTTGAAGCAAACTCTAGATACCGTATTATTCCTTCTCATAGAAAAGGAGCATTTAAAAAATGATTATTATTATCATCATTGTAGTGCTAGGGATTGAACCCAGGGAGTCACATATGCTAAGCAAGTGCTTTACTACTGAGTTACATCCCCAACCTGAAAAGGATTATTTTAATCAATATGACTACAATACTACATCAGAAGAGCATATCTTTAAAAAAATGAGCAATAATTTCTTTCTCTTTCTTTCTTTCTTTTCTTTTTTTAAATTTAATTTATTGGTACATTCTAGGTAGACAGTATCTTTCTTTTTTCTTTTTCTCTTTCTTTTCTTTCCTTTCTTTTTCTTTTTCTTTCTTTTTTTTTTTTTTGGTATCCGGGATTGAACTCAGAACCTTATGCTTGTGAGGCATGTGGCAGAACCACTGAGCTATATCCCTGGCCCCTGAGCAATAATTTATTAATATCACCAATCATTCAGTCCAGGTACCAAAAACAAAACAAAATAAAACAAACAAACAAAACCCAGCTCACCAAATATTCAGTCAGTGTGCAAAAAACCCAGTTGTCTCTTAAATTCTGTAATTTAAAAAATTTTCGTTTGTTGAATCAAAGCAAGTGAGTCTACACAATGGAATTAGTTAAGAGCCGTTTAGGTCTTTTTCAGCTCCTACCTCATGGTTTCAACCTGTATGACGCTGGCTGCTGGTTTGTCATAGATGGCTTTTATGAGATTGAGATAAAGACCTTGTATTCTAATTTTCTGTAGAGTTTTTTTTATCGTGAATGAGTGTTGGATTTTGTCAAATGCTTTCTGTGTCTATTGAGGTGATCACATAGGCTTTGTCCTTGGTTCTGTTAATGTGGTGCATTACATTTATTGATTGCTACCACTTCTTGAACACCAGTTATGTGCTTGCATAATTCTCACTTACCACTTACGATAGCTCTGTGAAGTTGACATTTGAAATAAGAAGTTTACAAATGAGGCTACCAAGGCTTAGGGAACTCAAATAGCTCAAAGGCATAGAGCTGGAAATTGCGGAGTTTAGTTTGCACTATGGTGTGGCCGACTCTGAGGTCCAAACCCTCACAGCACTTCTCACTGTCACCTGACCCTCACCTGTCCATGCCTGGGTTTGGGATTCAGAAGATCTGGTCCCTCCACTCTCCCTGCTATGAGTCCTCAACCAGTGCTCAAAGAATGGGCCCAACTGGTGCTGTTTCACTGCAGACAGTGCTAATAGGAAGTATAGACATAGAGTTTTAGCTATTGGAAAGTCTTTTGAAAGAGAAAGGTTTTTTAAAAAAGTCAGGCATGGTGGTGTATATCTGTGATCCCAGCACTCTGGGAGGCTGAGGCAGGAGGATTACCCTTCACTGAATTATTATTCAAAGACTGCGTGGTCCCCCATCCTTGCAAGAGGAGGTGCAGGACATTCAATAGCTGATTTCCCCCCCTACCCAGCCCAGGAGGCCCAGGGCAGCTGATTCTGGGGCTTTCCAGGACCCAGGGACTGAAAGTTCATGAATGTTCTGAAATGAAGAGATGTGTAAGTCAGAGGTCTCTGGAACCATTGCTCAGACCTCTTTTCTTCACACTCTGTGTTAAATGGAAAGCCCCATCCAAACTCAAGCCTGTGCTTTCCCAGGAGGAGGTGATTACAATAACGCCTTTTAGAAAATGTCCCAAACTGGGTTTCCATGCTGATCTTTATCTCCTCAGGCTGAAAGAATCTCACATAGAACTTCAAGAAACTTCCGCAGAACTCCCGATCCGAGGGTCACCTTCAGCCCTTTGTGTGATGCTCTTTTCAAATGTTTTCCACAGATATGGATCCCAGGAATGGAATCCCAAAGTTAACCCCAGGGGACAATCCGTATATGTGCCCAGAGCAGAGTAAAGGTTTCCACCAGGCAGGGTCCACTCTGCCACCAGTGAACTTTTCCTTGTGAGTACACGCTGATTCCAGGGTTATTTCTTCAACTTTAAAGGAATTGTTTCTTTCCTGTGTGTAAATTATATTTTAAAAGGGGTGGACAGGACCTGAGCAGGTAAAAACTTACAAAGCTCACCTTTAGTCTGTGTACACAGGTGAGCGTGATTGAAATTATGAAGGACTCAAGATATTTAAAGTATATTTTCATTTTTAATCCACACCTGGTAACTTTCCAGACTTATGCATTACAATGGGACGTTTCAATGCATGTATGCAATTATATGCGAGATTTTGAGTACAAAAAGGTGATTGTTAATTTTTTTTCCTATTTCTATTACCACAAACTTGAAGACTTTTGAATTTTCATGCTGAATCAGGTTGTGATTAGTTGACATAAACTTAGACCAAATGATTGAGAAGAATGTGGGAAGATCGTTAAATTAAAAGAGAAACCAGGCATGGTAGCACACACCTGTGATTCCAGCACCTGAGAGGCTTGCTGGAGGATCACAAGTTTAAGTCCCATCCGGAACTGAACAATTTAGTGAGACCGTATCTCAAAATAAATATTAAAAAGGGGTAGCCAGGGATTTAGCTCAGTGGCGCCACCGCTTGTCTCGCAAGCGCAATGTCCTGAGTTTGATCCCCGGTACAAAAAAAAAAAAAAAAAAAAAAAAACACGGGGGATGTAGCTCAGTGTGAAGGCCCTGGGTTCAATCCCCAGTACAACACACACACACACACACACACACACACACACACGAATAAATAAAAAGATAGTTGTTGTGCTATACTTAAAATATTTTTTAAAACGAATCGTGTGATATTATGTAATTGAAAAAAATAAAAACATTTCAGATTATGACCCTTGCAGTTTTAAAGACCATACTTGAAAATTATAACCAGGAAATGAGATCTTTTCTTGGAACACAACCCAGCAGTGTGCCGATGCCTATGGTGGCATGGCTACACTGACTTCAGGGTGTCTTTCTGGTTTTCAGGGTGCCGTACCAGAAGAAGTTTGACACGTTTATTCCACTTGAGCCTCTCCCACCCACCCCCAGGTAGGTGTCTCCCCAGCTACTGTATGGTGTCTCACCTTTGAAATGCCAGCCACGCCCTCTTCTGCTGGGGGGAGATGTAGAGATGGCCATCCCCAGGGACCTTCTGAGCCCCAGCAGGAGCAGAGGCAGTGTGACGGAGGGCACTGAAGACACGTGGAGATTGTGTGTCTGTGGCATCTGGCACCTGGGATGGACATGGGTCTAACAGATGATGTTGGCCAACTGCCGGATGCCATGTGTCATGCTAAGTATGCACGTTGGGATAGGAGAGTGTTTGGGCAAAAAGGCGGGCTCTCGTCTTCCAGAACATCAAAGCATGTTGGAAGCCGAGTGTGGTGGCCCATCCCTATGAAACCAGCTTCTCAGGAGGCTGAGGCAGGAGGATTGCAAGTGCCTAAGTAGCCTGGACAGCTTGGCAACTTAGTGAGATTGTATTTCAAAATAAAGACAACTGGGGTTGTGGCTCAGTGGTGGGGTGCTTGCTTGGCATGCTTGAGTCCTTGGATTTCATCCTCAGCAAAGGCTGTTAGAAAAGAATGACACCTACTTAACTGACTGCAACCAGGGAGGATGGTTAGAGTTTCAAGTGGCAGAAGGAAGCCAGCAGAGCCTGTGTCTACTCCAGATTTGAGCCAAATGGCATCCCTCTTACTTCATACTTCAGCTCAGCTCCAGGGGGAACCTCATTTATTTACCTAAGTAGGTCTGTGACCTCAGAGAGGGAGGAGAAGGAGAGAGAGACAGGGAGGGAGAAGGAAGAAAGAGAGACAAGCATCCCAGAATCTGACCCACCAGAGTTCAGAGCAAACTCAGGAATTTAGTGGGAATAAATGCTTTTTATTTTAAACGCGGGCCCTTATTGGCCTCATTATATTGCATTATTACACTACACACACACACACACACACACCTAGGGTTCTTCATGTTTGTACTATATAGTTTTACAAAAATCATTCTAGAATATTCCACATAATGACAGCTGCTTAAACACTTTGTTCTTGAATACTTTCTGTGCTGGTTCACCAGTGTTCTTTCAGCAAATGTAACATCAACGGGCAACTTGTGAACCAATTGTCAAATGTGACATTTGAGTTATTTTTTGAAATAGGCACGACAAGTCTGTTCACAGTGTCTTAGGGTTTATTACTGCCCAAGTAAAGACCTGGTGGCTGAGTTCCAGAATAAACTTCTAAACTCAAGTGTAAAATGCCTTCATAGCTACAATGGCATATATTTTCATACCATCTTTGGAAGGTGTGTCTAGCATATGTTGCTGAAACCTTCAATAACCATGAAATGATGCAAGTTGTTTGTCAACTGTCATGCATTCGGACGGTGTAGAAATTGCTTGGCGGTTCGAAACAAGCTTTCAAAATGTAAGCAAATTGCAGCCAAATTGTTGGATATTTTTCTTTTCTTTTTCTCTCTTGGTAGGTCTTTTTGTTATTAAAATGTGGGCATTTTGAAAGAAACCAAATCTCTTGAGTGTCATTATTGCTCTAAAAATCTCCCTGCTACATCCATTATTTCTCCATAGATCTTTCAGATTCTGACGATTAGAATGATAAAGTCCTGCTTTGCAGGCTTTTGGTTCACAGAGAGAAATGTCATGAGAAATGTATTTTTGAGTGTTACTATTGCTGCATATAGAATGTTTTACTTGTATTTTAGGCTTGCAATTTTTTTTTTGTACCAGGGATCGAACTCGGGACCTTGCGCTTGCAAGGCAGGCAGCAGAACCACTGAGCTAAACGCCCGGCCCTTACTTGTATTTTATTATTAGTGTATTTCACAACATCTTGTAGCATATTGTCCATTACAATTTCCAACACTGAATTGTAATGTTGGCATTCCTTTCAATAGGTTTCCCCCTGGCCAGAACCTAATAACATTCTCTGACCTAGTTGTAATGTTGAATTGGTCACATATATGTGACCATTTTTGTAGCATCTCAAGTAGTCAAATACTTATTTACATTACTGTTTTCTTCCTCTTCTGAATCAAAGCCTTCACTCTGTACTTCTCTATGTGTTGTTATATGTTGCTAACTTCTTTGGCTTGCATGATCCAAGTCATCATCATAGCTGAATCACCTGAGCAGTCACTTCGAATCTCCTCCCAAAGCAATAAAAGCAGAATTTTCATGCGACAGTATCCCGAATTGGGCTAATTCTATGAGAAAAAAAAATAAATAAAAAGAAAACATGTAATAAAAAATTATACATACCCAAAAATGTAACATGGTGCACAACACGGGTAAAACTCACCTATTGACACTTGGACACATGTGCACACACTGTACCTTTCGCCGTACCAAGTGGGTGAACACAAAGACCATTTGCGGCAATCCCCAGAGACACGCAGTCAGCTACCCTTATGGTAAAGGCCACGTTTTCCTTAGAAAAATATGGTCGGGCTGTATTTTACTTACCATGATGCTCCTATTAGTTCTGGGATTATGGAGGGTCCACAGTTGGGGATGGACAGGAGTCACCTAGCTGTCTCGGCCCCCAGCTAGAGGGGCAGCTTTTGACCATGCAAGGTTTTCAGAGGAAGTATCATCGCATCCAGAGCCCACAGGGTGGTCAGAACCACCATACAAATGAGGCTGGATGCAGGATCGGGTCATATACTTTTGGTTTTGTGCATAACTGGTGTTCCTTGGGGGGCAGGTTGACTTTTCTGTTTATGGGTTTTCTGTTATTTTGACATAGTTATCCTTACTCTGCCTGGTTTCTCCATTTTTCTCAAGGCTTTCTGCTACTCACTGTTCTCAGCCTACCCCTCCCCACATGCCCCTACTCGACTGTTCTAGCTTTTGTACAGTCTTTCATTCATAAATATCTTTTTACATGTATAAATAACAATATCAGTAAGTCTGATTTTCCTAAAAAAGTATTTTTAAATTTTTAATTTAAATTTGTATTTTATTTATTTATTTTTTTGGTACCAAGGATCGAACTTGGGTCCTTGTGCTTGCAAGGCAGGCTCCAGAACCACTGAGCTAAATCCCCGGCCCTTTAAATTTTTTAAATGTATGTATGTATTTTTTTTTTAAAAAGGGGAAAGGTTTATTTAACTCACACTTTATAGGTTTCAGTCCATAACCAGGCCTTACAAAAGAGTTCATGGTGAGCAGAAGGGAACAAAATAACAAGGGACAGTACTTTTTAGTTTTAAGAAGGAGAAACATTGTAGACCAGCGAATTCTTCTGGGCTGTGGCCAATCTGATAAGCAGGAGGCTTGGGCCCTTTCCCAGGGGCAAAGCTGCTAACCAGTTAGTCTCGCAGGAGCCATAAAAGCTCCAGTTTGTTGCTGGATCGGCCATTTTGTTTCCTCGACCATTATTCTACATTAATTTGCTACTATTCCCATTTAGTGCCTGTTGTGTTTTTAGTCTCTAAACATATCACTTGATTTTTTTTTTTTTTTTTTTTTTTTTTTTTTTGAGCGGGAAAGTGTTGCAGATGAACCCTGGTCCCCGCACGTACATTCTACCACCGGGCCACATCACCAGCACTTTATATTTTTTGAGGCCAGTTCTTTTTTTGTTTGTTTGTTTGTTTTTGTTTTCTTGAGACAAAGTCTTGCTGTGTAGTTCAGGCTGGCCTTGAACTCACTATGTAGCCCAGGCTGGTCTCCAGCTCATAGCAATCCTCCTTCCTCAGCCTCCTGAATGCAACACCATGCCCAGTTTGAGACAAATTCTTGCTGAATTGCCCAGGCTGGATTCAAATTTATAATCCTCCTGCCTCAGCCTCCTGAATAGTTGAGATTACAAGCATGAGCGACTATGCCTGACTTACTTGATTTTTAAATATTTTTGATTTCTTTACTTAGTATTTTTATATTTCTACTGAATGACGTTCCTCCTGTTTTTGGGTCACATTTTCTTTCTTCCTTTTTTTTTTTTTTTTTTTTTTTTTTTT